GGCCATGACCCGTATCTTTGACGACTTAATTCATAATAAAGTTGAGTGCTATATTGACGATTTAGTTGTCAAGAGCAAGGTCAAAGAGCCTCACCTATATGACTTAAGAGTTGTATTTGAACGATTGCGCCACAACGATTTGAAAATGAACCCCTTGAAGTGTGCCTTTGGCTTCACCTCAGGGAAATTCTTAGGATTCGTGGTGAGGCATCGTGGAATCGAGATCGACTCTGCTAAAATTGAAGCCATCTTAGATATGCCATCTCCTAAGAGCCTTACCCAATTAAGGTCTCTACAAGGTTGATTGACGTATATAAGGAGGTTTATTTCTAATCTTTCCAGGAGATGTCAACCCTTTTCTGTCCTTGCAAAAAAAGACACTAAATTTGTATGGGACGAGAAGTGCCAAAATGCTTTCGATAACATTAAACAATACCTTTCTAACCCACCAATTTTGGCAGCCCCAATTCCGGGAAAGCCATTAATTCTCTACACTGCAGCCTTATATGAGTCTTTAGGTGCCCTGTTGGCTCAAGTCAACAACGAAGGGAAGGAGAATGATCTCTATTACCTTATTCGAAGACTTCTTCCTACTGAAATGCGATACCCATCAATAGAGAAGCATTGTCTTGCTTTAGTTTTTGCAGCCTAGAAACTGATGCACTACATGCTCTCCCACTCAGTCAGCTTGATTTTAAGAGTTAATCCTTTGCAATATCTTATGACTCGACCTACGTTGTCAGGACGTTTAGCCCGTTGGTCTATGATATTGCTGCAATTTGAGATTACTTTCACTCCTCTTCATGCTGTGGAAGGACAAGCCGTTGCCAATTTTCTGGCAGCACACCCGCTGCCGGCAGATTCTCCTCTGAACGATGATTTACCTGACGAACAAATCATGAGTTTGAGGGAGTCTGACGAGGCCGTCTGGGAATTGTATTTTGATGGAGCAGCATCCTCCCGTAGGAATGCGACCCAACAATCTATAATTCCTGGAAAGGCTGGAGTCGGTCTAATTTTTATAACACCAGAAAAAGGAATGATGCATTTTTCCTACCATTTATCGGAGCCCTGCACAAATAGCGAACCTGAATACGAAGCTCTGATAACCGGTTTGGAACTTGCAATTCTAATGGAAATTAAAGAGATTAAGATCTTTGGAGATTCCCAATTGGTGATTAACCAAGTGGCCGGAACCTATAAAGTCTTGAATCATAATCTCCTAAGATACCACCAGTACACACTTCACTTGTTGGAACAAATTCCTACCGCCACTTTGTATAGGGTTCCCCGTGGAAGTAACTCCGCAGCGGATGCCTTAGCAAAACTTGCAAAGGAATTTGCATGTCCTGAGGAGGATTCCATCCCTGTAGAGATACAGGGTCGTAAGACCCTTTCTCTTATAGATTTGGAACACATTAGTAAGACTCCCCTTCAGATCCTTTCTGCCTCTTCTACAACCGACGAATAAGGCGATTGGAGATGACCCTTAATCGACTACCTTAAAGAAGGGAAGCTTCCCCAGGATAAATCATTATCCAACCAAATTAAGAAACGTGACCTATCTTATGCACTAGTCAAAAATTTCTTATGCCGTCGGTCCTTCGATCACATGTGGCTGCGCTGTTTAGACTAGCGAGAAGCCCTAAAGATTGTTAATGAGGTTCATTCGGGACTATGCCGTGCACATCAATCGGGTCCAAAAATGAAATTGAAAATTAAAAGACTTGGATACTACTGGCCTACAATGATTGACGATTGTATGAATACTGCAATGCACTGTCATCAATGTCAGGTCCATGGTGTGGTTTTACATCAGTCGCCTAATGTGTTACACCCTACGATAGCTTCGTGGCCCTTCGAGAGTTGGGGCACATATATCATTGGGTCGATTGACCCTCCATCCGCGAGAGGTCATCGTTTCATATTAGCAGCGACTGATTACTTTTCAAAGTGGGCGGAAGCAATTGCCCTATGCAATGTAACATCACACCATGTCTTAAAATTCTTTCGTGACCATATCGTATATCGGTTCGGCGTACCCCGCAGAATCATATCCGATAATGGGTCTGCATTCAAGTCTACAAAAAATCAATAATTTTATGAGACGCCATAATATTGATTGGAGATACTCGACGATCTATTACCCTCGGGCAAATGGATTAGCCGAAGCCTTCAACAAAACCTTGGCGCAAATTGTTAAAAAGACCCTTGATGATAACAAACGACAGTGGGATGAGCGGTTGGTGGAAGCTTTGTGGGATTATCTTACCACTTATAGAACCCCGACCCAATCCACCCCGTTTGCACTAGTGTATGGATCTGAGGCCATTCTACCCCTGGAAATACAAATCCCTTTGCCTAGGATTGCAGTTCAGAATCAGATTACAAATGAACAAAATGCAAAACTGCGGTTGGAAGAACTCGAAGGCCTTGAAGAGCGATGTCTCCAAGCCAACAAAGTTTAGAGTTATATAAGTCCCGTATGGTTCAAGCCCATGATAAGCTAGTGCGACCTAGGACCTTCCAAGCGGAAGACTTGGTGTTGGTCCTTTAGAGGCCTATCTTAGCCCATCGAAAGTTGGGAGGCAAATTTGAACCCACTTGGGAAGGACCCTTCGTCATAGAGACTGTCTACAAAGGAGGATCGTATCAGTTAGTAGATTATAAAGGAAATCACCCAATGCTAACTGTCAATGGGCATTTCCTTAAGAAATACTATGCTTGATGTAGCTCGTTATGTCAATTAATGAAATTTTCCTTCTTGATTTGCAACCCGGTTCATTCCTTTTTAAATTGTTTTTCTTTTTAATGCTCTTCACCTTCTCCTTAGGGCAGGACCGTCCCCTCCCTTAGGATCGCACCTGCTAGTGGTGGAGTACGCCATCCGTGGCACCACCCTAGCATTTGACTTAGGGATTAATGGTGGAGTACGCCCTTCGTGGCACTATCCTGATTCACACTTGCTAGTGCTGGAGTATGCCCATTATGGCACCATCCTAGTTTGCCAGTTTCAGTCCTCTGTGTGGAGCAAGTTTCCTCCCAACATGACCACTCGCTAGTGGTGGAGTACGCCCTTCGTAGCACCATCCTAGTTTGCTAATTTTGGTCCTCTGTTGAGCAAGTTTCCTCCCCACATGACCACTTGCTAGTGGTGGAGTACGCCGTTCATGGCACCATCCTAGTTTGCCAGTTTCGATCCGCTATGTGGAGCAAGTTTTCTCCCCACATGACCATCCCAGTTAATTTGCCTATTTGAAGTAAGTCT